AGTAGAACAGGAGACTAACTTAAATAGGTCGTATCGAGAAAAAAAAAAAAAAAAAAAAAAAAATTCAACGCCGGATGTCTGAGTTGAGCCGGTGATGCTCTGAAATCTCCGCAATGCAGATACCGAAAGGGTTTTCCTTGTGACTTGACACCTTCAAATAAAAATAAAGATGATCCTGGACAGCTACCGAGAAACATAAATGGGAATGAGTAATAAAAATAGGTGACACCTACTCGAAAGTGGTAGCCTTAAAGAGAAAAAGGTACTCAACTGATTTGCATCCAATACCGTCACCTTCACCCCATCTACCATCGTAGGTTCATTATCCTTCAGAGGCTTAACCCATTGTTTTTTGACTCCAAGGTTGTGACATATAAGATTTGCCGTGGTCTGACTACAATAAACGAAACCATGATCCCAGGTATGACTTAACCTGGTGTAATGGTCAGCATGGGCGTGAGATAAAAAATAAGCTGTAATGTTTGGGATCTTGCCATATTTGAAGGCATCTACAGCGATAGTAGTACCTTCCATGATTTTATAGAAAGGTACATTGACTGCACTTTGATCAAACTTTGACCGTTTCATAATTTGTTTTCCCTTCTTAGAGTGATTTGAGTCTTGTTCAGAAAGTTTCCAGGCGTTTTCTTCCTTCTTGCCACGCATGAGAGCACCAAAAGCATTGGATTCGGATGTGATGGTTTTTTTCGACGGTTTGATTTGTTGCGAGTCGGATGTTTTATCGGGCAACTTCATCTTGGATGAGCCGGGAAGCGGTCGAATAGTGTTTAGAGGGCGAGGATGTGATTTTGTTGCATGAGTACCAGTGGAAAGCGTAGGAAGTTGTGCGCTCGAGGTTCCATCTAAACATCCATTCACATGCCTCTCTGCTTCTCCAAGTGAGACGCCCTCAAGCGTGACGTTACAGATTGGACAAATGGTCTCAGACGTTTCGACGTGGGCCTTTTCTTCAAGTATCTCTCTTAAGTCTTCATTTTCCGAATCAGAGAACACGCTCTCGCCTCTAAGCGTTCCGCTCGAATCTGAACAATTTTGCCAAAAGTCATCGTCTTCATCATCTTGTAATTCAGGTGGTCGTACGTATTCTTCTCCTTCGTCTGGAACAAAATCATCATCTATCGGTCCACGTTTTTCATCTTGTTTCAAGGGCTCCTTAGGTAACTTGCGAGCAGGTATCGCAAATTCTTCAGGTGAATCAGATCGTATTTCGATGGCTATCTCATTGTTATGATTTGTTGAAGAATTCTTTCTCGAGCTAGATCTCAAATTCCGTTTGTTCGGCTTGTGATCAAGGGTAATCGATGGCACCGCATCTTTTTCGACCACTCGTTTGCGTTTGACCGTGACTACAACAGGCTTTGAGGAAGAGGGGTGGATCGAAGGACTCTCGTCTGCCGATAAGATATCCCCAATTGAATTCGGTCTCTGGCGAGACGCGTCGGTGAAGAAGCTTGTGATAGCTCGTTGATCTTTTTTCGGAGTGACTTGAGGCTTTGGCGATTTCAAGCCGCGTGAAGTGCCCTGGTTCGTAGTTTTCGGATGGCTCGAATTGCCCATGTTCAAAATGAAGCTTAAAGCAAGAGAAATTCATGAGATATAAAAAGATATAAAGAGAGAACTTGCCACGAAAATATTTCAATGCGCTTTGTATTATTACAATCACTTTCTCGGTCCGGCCAAGTTATAGCTTATCAGGGCCATGAAAGTACCGGTTAAGCTTACTGGCTGACCCTTTCCTGCTTGTCTATGCAGCATACACTATAAGGTATTCCAGCGTGATTTACAGGGAAACTGAACCAGCTGAGCACAGACAAAACGAATCAAGCTTGTGGCAGGACCAAAGCCTATGTAAGAAAACCTGCCCAGAAAGCAAATAAATAGATAAGAAACAACAAGAACAACAAATCAAAATAATCTACGAGTGATATCACAAGCCAAAAAAGATGCTGAGTATCACAGAAAGGTACAATATATCACAAAAAACATGAACAATCATTTCAAGGGTCCATAAATAAGCCTTTCCACCCGCCGTTCCACCCGCTATCCGTGCCGAGAGACTAGGATGCTGAGCAGTGGCGGCTGGCACGGTAGTAAGATAAGGATCTGTGAACTGTTTCAATAGCTCTCCTTTAGAGGAATATACGTCGAGTTTCTCTGTGGTACGGTGTCGCAGTGGTCATTACATTATAGGAGCAGTACATCAGTCTTGATGCATGCCGAACTAGTCTGATTTGAACTAAGAAACTTACGTTTCATATTACCAACTGTGAAATGCGAAGGCAAATGTGGATTGGGACACCATCTGGCCTTGAATACCTGTGAGAGGGGTATAACCGAGTCAGTACATCCACACAAAACTAAGAAGACCCCAAAACACATCGGGATTGAAGACGTACAGAAACCCAACGACCCGTCTGATTATCATGTCTGGCCTTGTACGTTGGTTCAAAGTCGCTTTCAGCCCAAGTATCACTCTGACTAAGATCAAGGTCCCAAACCCTCAAGTGATCATCATAACTTGTGCTCAACAATTTGTTGCCCAGCGGATTGAAGAAAGCAGAAGAACAAGCCAGTCTATGTGAATAATTCACCACGCAAGCTTGAGATTCAAGCGTTGAAAGCTCGGTGTCCGTTGAGAGTCCGGTGAGAATCTTGAGGTCCCATATCCTGATGTTTGAGTAATTGAGATTTGACGATACGGAAGGTTGCGGCATGAGTCAATACACAACAATTGCGGCGTGAAGAACAGTTGCGAATATTTAACGAAACTCACCGCATCTCTCGATTTAAACCGGCGGTGACAGCCCATCGATTATCCGAGGTGGGACATAGACTTACACAACCAATCTTCTTCTTTGAGACCTCCCATCTTCTGGCCTTTTCCTTTGGCTCTCTCAAATCACGATGTGAGATTCCACCAGAGTTATCAGAACAGTATAGCTCACGACCATCGTTGGCAAATTCAAAGGCGGAGAAGAGCATCTCGTCTGATGACAGACTGTCCCCATCCAGAATCTCTGTACTCTGTTTGGTTTCAAAGTTCAGTTCACGAACGGTCGAATCATAACAGGCGGTATAGACGAGATGATGATTGGTCGGATGAATCTGGATAGCAGAAACTGATGATCGAGGATGAGCTTGGATAAAGAATGAACGTCCTTCTGCCGGCTCGAGATCTTCTTGATCCTCCTCCTCCGGTTCTTCTTTCTTCACAGGCTTCGCATCGGGTTCATCTGAGGCTTCTTCCTTCACCTCTTGACTTGTGCTCCCTTTATTAGACTGCCGATTTTCGGCTGCCGCGTCCCAAATCCCGACCCCTCCCACCTTATCTCCCATGAAAATCAAGTTCTTTTCGACTGTCGGGTGAAACGTCATACAATAGATCCGGCTCGGGCACACCTTATTCATGGCTGTCAGTCTCATCCCATTCAACTCGTCTACCAATCGGTCATACTGATCATCACTACCATTTTGATAATCCAGATTTACCTCCTCTTCTTTCATAGACTTCTGTGGCTTAAACAAACTAGGTGAAAATGACTCAAACAATCCGTTTGTCAAACTTTCTGAATCTTCATCCTTGATTCTCCAGCTTTCGGCAACTAAGGTTCGATCTGAATGTTTTAATCTTTCTTTCTCTTTGCTAGCGTTCTCGTTCACTTCTTCATCAATCTTTATCTTCAGTTCTAATTCCTCTGGAGCAAGTTTTTGTCCATTGAGCCGCATCGAAGACCTAGTAGCATGTCGTCTAGGTGGTACCACATCTTGTACAGGCAATTTGACCCGCTTCTTGACTGGCGTGCTGGCGTTGGATGAAGGGGATTCTTTTCGCTTGGTGATCAGAGGTTTTATGCTTAGTGAAGAAAGTAAGGATTGGTTCTTTTTGATATTCTCTTGCCTCTGTCTTTCGCTTTTGTTACGACGTTTCCCAAATCCGGATGAAGAAGTTTATAAGCTAATCGTCAGGTCCCTTTAAGAGTTGGTCTGAGAGCTCACTAGTCTGTTAGGATCGCCATAGTTGAGAGAGTTTCTTGTTCGATGTGTTCTAGATTGATTTGTAGGATGGGTTCGAGAGTATTGTGTTATATATCAATTTCCTGCATTTGCCGTCCGAAGACGCGACCGCGATTTACTTTATGCGACGCGGTGCCCCGTTTTGCAGCATGACGGGCCGGACTCACTCCAGCTGCGAGCATTAAGGCCGGCACCCGGCCCGGAGGCTGCCCGCGGGAAGATCGAGCGGGCTCCGGGCTGCCCGGTTTTTTTTTGTTTTTAAAAATAGAGGGCTGAAGAGCGCTCCATAGTTTAAAATTTCAACTTAGATCTACAGCTCTTCAGGAAATTCGTGTCCACTCCATTTTTTTTTTCGCACATAAGCTTTGCGCCAAAATACCGCCAATACAGGCCTGTAATAGCGGCGGATGCTAAAAACCGCAGTAGTACAGCTGTTCCTGAATTTCGTGTCATGTTCGAAAATATAATGAATAGGACGAGAAGTTCGTCAGTTCGTACTCCGAGGCTTCAGCTTCCACAATGGTTAAATTGCAATACCTATAATGAATAGGACGAGAAGTTCGTCAGTTCGTACTCCGAGGCTTCAGCTTCCACAATGGTTGAGGGAAGGAAGCTTCTGCCGGAGACGAACGGAAAGACTACAAGTAATACAGCTGTACAAAACACGTGATCTGCTGTGGCGCAGTCGTGTACTCTCAACACCCCCCCCCGACTAGACACAGCACCCCTCTTCTCAACAAAAAAAACAGCGAACCAAAAAAAATAAAGAAAAAACAGAAAACACACAAGATAAAATTGATAAAAGATAATAGAAAAAAATTAACCCTCTAAACTCAAATTCTTCTTCCCAGCTGCAAAAAGATATGGTCCCAGTGCCTTTGTTAAGATGTCTGCTTTTTGATGTTTTGATTCCACCCAGTGTAAAGTAACCGTGCCTTTGAATAACTGTTCATTGATGTAATAAAATTCCCTCTCAGTATGACGTGTTCTTTTATTTGAAGAGTTATCCTTCGAAACATGAATTGCAGACGTGTTATCGCAATGTAAAGCCACCGGTCCCATTGCCCCTATGACATCACTGACTAAATTCCTCAACCACACTGCATCTCTTGCTGCCGTCCCCAATGCCATGAGGCAGCGCTTT